GAATCTAGATAAGTTTCTCTTTGGTTGGATATCTTGACCAATACCGAAGTTCTTTGGTCTGGATTCAACTAATGGGTTCTTAGAAGAAGCAGTCTTGGTGGACTTAGAAGCTAATGGTGCTGGAGCAACCTTCTTACCTTTTGGAGCCATTTTGATATATAATAACTTGAACAAGCAACTGTTTGTAGATGTGAAATTTTATTATATCTGAAATTTTCACTATAGTAAGGCAGAAGCTCGTCAGCCGAAAAAAATTCTGCGGTGTGAATCCTGTACATAAAATGGTTCCGCGCGTCATGTGATCAAATGTGACTGCGTTTTGTAATGATGTATTTTGCAGTAATGAAGGGTATTGGATTTAGCGGAACCGTCTTGTTGGTCGGTAGCGGATGATCAGTTAGCTGTAATACGGTCCTCGAGGGTAAAACAATGTCAGATACAAATAAAATGAAATAGTCGATGAAAATATTAAAAGTCTGTATAATGTAAAGACATAATTTAGGCCCGTAGGTATTTTTTCTAGACAAAACAGTAAAATCCTCTAATACACATCAAATGCTACAATCAGGATTACCGCAATTATTCTTATCTATTAACCTAAATTCCAGAATATAGGAACATATAAAACCAAAAGCATATAAAGCTGCACATATGTGCAGTTGAAGATAATTAGTGAACTAAAAAATTATTAGAAAAAGTGAATTAGAAAAGAAACATAGGGCCATAGGCTAGTCCCCTCCATAGAAGTCTATTTGCCATTATTATAGATGGCTTGTGTAGCATGCTCGCATGCTTGGTATAAAATTAATCTTGGCTGCAATCGAGCCACCTCGAGTTGCACCATCCTTTGATAGTGTACTGCAGCTTCGTGTTCCCGGCCTGCGGAGATTGATCATTGTAAAAGCACCTGCTGTTGTACAATACCCCGGCTGGCTTGTTGTAGTAATGGTGCCTGTCTCTGGTGTCCGTCTTTTTTTCGTTTCCCACGTACACGTAGCTCGATGAGTCAATATAAGCACCCGGCGAGCTGTCGATTCGAGGTGGAAGTATCACGTTGTCCCATAGCTTGTCTCGAGACAAGTTCGATACACTGATAATGTTAAAGCGACGGTGAAACTCCTTGGCTACACGTGACCGGTTTATCACATAAGACAACTCTCGGCTCGAATACGAGGTGGGCAAGATGCTCCGACATCTTGCCTCATAGTCTATAGCGTATAACCGAAGGAACAACGAATTCATACGGGAGTCTCTACCTCTGTATTCGTTCCCACGAGGCAATTCCAGTGGTGGACGCATCGAATCTCCCGATGCGCACATGTGCGTTTGCGGTCCTTCCAAATTAGAATCGTCTTCTCTCTCGTGACATGAAAGGCCTGGAACTGCGTCGTCTGTCATCCTGGGAGAAAGGTACCCATGATGTGATAAGATAGAGTATGAGGTACGGTTAATCGATGTCTTGAGTACTTTGAAAGCACGAGTGAATTTTGACACCGCCAGGCCCTTTACCGGAGCCTTCTCACTTTGCAGTTTTGTTATATGCATGTCTTTGTTCAAGCTGCTCAAAAGACTATCTGTGGCCAACGTGTCTGGCTTCAAGCTCCCGTCAAATGGTATGTTCACCGGCGAGATGTCTGAGTCAGATCCAGATTTTTTGGGTATATAGTGCAATGGACACACCGATTTTGGTGCGTCATTATTCTCACTTGACAAAATGGAACTCCACGATTCAAATAACGCCTCATCTTCATGAGAGATTCCCGTCGTATCTTCGTAGCCTTCATCATCAAATTCTGAAACATGTTCATCATCGCTACTCATATACTCATCTGTATTGCCTTCATTATCCATTTCTGCTATGTTTTCAACCTTGTTTCCCTTCGTAAACAAGCTAACGTACAGTACCATATCTCTTGTTCCATTCGCCAACCCATCTCTTTTGCAAAAACTTCTAGGCGTTTGTTGGTACTTTACCTCTTCAATCTCATTTATGCCCATTCCAATACTACCGTGATAATAGTCTTGGGGCGACATAGTCAATAGTACCGCATTTGCTTCATTTGCGACCCTAATAGGTCCTTCACCTCTGACTTCTTCAATAAGTCTACCCATAATACTCACAGTCTATGCGTCCATCAATAATGTGAATATATATATATATTATAATACTATATTATGAACTATAGAAGAAGAAATATTAATAAACAGCAATTTTTGTTCACCCATAAGAGTAAACTGGAACTTTTTCTTAATTCTCCTCGTGTGCTGGGTTTGCATATAAATGATTGCGTCCAACAATTGTCTTCCTTCGTATTTGCCAAATACCCCAGACGGAATTTCTGAGAACCAAAACGTAGTCTGTACTCTATACAAGGGGCTGCAACTAAGGTTCTGAGTGAAATGGTGAATATGTGTATGAAAAATCATAATAAATGTCTTCTAGACGTAGGCTCAGTCGATTCGTAGTCTAAATCATCCAAATCGTCGAGTTCCAAGTCATTTATGTTATCCGCAGTGTTTGCGACCAAAGAATAATCGTTCATAGGAGTTTTCTTGCCGTAAAATTCATCAAATAAACGGTCTATATCTTCTAATTCCGCACCCTTAGTTTCTGGGTAGAAATAGTACACAAAGAATACCGAGATGATACAACTGCACATTGGGAAGATGTACATAACCCAGCCAATTGATTCCTGGAGGATAGGGGTGAGTTGACCCACAATGTAGTTGCTTAGCCAGTTTGTGGCAGTAGAGAGTGAGACTCCCTTGGATCTTACGGCCAATGGATATACTTCTGGAGGAATCAAGAAGCCAATGGGGCCCCAACTGTAGCCAAAAGATGCGTTGTAGACGATAACGAGCAATGCAACCAATGTCGGAGTAAATGATTGGTTGAGATACATAATATAGGATATAAGAGCAAAGCATACGGCCATGGACAAGCCACCACTGATAAGGATTGGCCTACGGCCCCATTTGTCGACAAGAAACCATGGAGGGATGGTGGATGCAAGATACACCAAGCCGTTGATACCAGTCATCAAGAGTGCTTTGGAGTCGTTGAAGCCTGCTTCTGCAAACACCATAGGAGCATAGTAAGAAATGATATTGATACCGTTGAACTGGGCAAAAGCTAATGCCGAACAGGCAATTAACACTCTCGTTAAATAGTTAGAAAACATCTTACGCCAACTTCTTTCGGCCTTAGGAACCAACTTTCTTTCATTTAAGATAGAATTCTTAATCATGAAGAACTCTTTACGTGGTTTATCATCGTCTGGTGAACTATCATATAATAAACATAAAACATGGAAACCCTGTTGGTCATTATCGACATCAAGCAACCATCTAGGTGATTCGACCACAAAAAAGCCTCCTAGAAGTAGCACGAATGCGATTACAACTTGTATAAATAATGGAAGTCTCCAAGATAAGTTTGCTGCAAACGTATGGGGGTTTTCTCTAGCATCACCAATATCCTGAATAAAGTAACAGAAATAATCTACCCACACACTTAAGGCATATCCAGCAATATTACCACTGAACTCGCCGCATACTAATTTCCCTCTTTCTTCTGATGGAGATATCTCACATTGATAAGAAGGCACCATAGTGGACAAAATACCCACACCAAACCCACTGATAACTCTACCAACACCAAACACGTACAAGTTTGTAGCAAATGTTTGTAATAATCCTCCAATCATAAAGATAACAGTCCCCAACAAAATGGTCCTCTTACGACCATACCTATCGGAAATTTTCGAAACAAGCATCGACGAAATCATCGCCCCTATTTCCAAAATAGATATGATTGTACCTACTTCCGATGAAGTAGGCTCATTGAAATATTTTATAAAAGTAACAAATGTTAAAATCCCAGAACAAACTCCCTGCTCGTATCCAAATAATGAAACAAATAGTGATACAAACGCAGACGTGAAGTACACCAATCTGTTCCCTTTAAACTTCAACTTCAGTGTATATTTCCTTGAGTTAAAATCAACGTGATCGTATCTGTTCCCAAAATCATCAGTATACGTATTATGGTCTGTATTTGACCCGTCTGACGAATGTGAGCCAAACTTAACCGGATCATCACTATCGTCATCCGTGCTCGACTTGTGTTCATGATAAGACTCAAAGAGTGTCCTCTTATCGGCAAATTCATCTTCTTCCAGGTTTAATTTCAAATTCTTATTAGTAATAGGTCTTTGGTTCTCCTTTGTCAGTGAGTTTGTTAATTGCTGGTTATGCGTCTGAGGTAAACCCGACATATCCAGGTTGAAAAGCAATGTATCTTCATCAGACGTATCGCTATATGAATTAACAGATCTAGAAACCATTCTCTAACTCGTATGTACCACTTGATTCATTAAGTTACTATACTGATATTGTATAAGCATAAACATTAATAAAAGCTTGGGGACTAAATATAAAAATATGGAGTGAGGGTCAAATTATCATAACCACTCTAAACGAAATCCGAACAAAATCGTGTTGAATACATAATAAATATATTAAATATAAAGCCAAGACATACTATGTATACTATTTCAATAATGAGATGCACAATTAGTCTATTTTTGAGCACGCTTAATGTAGCTTTCAATGTAAAAAGCGGCGAATAACGCAGTCAATGGGGTCAAATAGGCCACATTAATGATTAATGGTAATGCTTGATCAGAAGAGCCAATACAATTCGTGATTTTACCAGTAGATAAGTCTGTATACCATATGAAGGCATGGATTACGGCCAAAGATCCACCAACCACAAACTGGGTAATTTGCATAGATGTTAATGCTCTCTTGAACACGTTTGGAACTCTAATTTTCAAACACGATAAGGTGAAGTAAAAGTACATCAAAGAGTGAATAAAGGAGTTGAATATGACGAAGATCCAGATTGGAGGAGAGCGGTATCTGATACCAGCCCACATGCACATCATAGCGCCCGCATGATGGTAACTTTGTAATAAAGAAGATGGCTTACCCTTCAATAAGATGATAATGGTATCCAACACTTCGTAAAACTTTGATACGTAGAACCAGAACCCATAAAGAAGCAAACTGTCGAGCGGAGCGGACTTAGTGCTGAAAACACCAAAGTCCAAGTCGCACACCGATTGGAAAAACTGTTGGAAACGACTTGGGTTTGTAAGTGGCTTCAATGTTTGAATATTTTGGTAGATTGAACGGCTCATCCCCACAAATGTCCACACCGAGTACCAACACAAGAAAACATTGTGTAAGAGAACAAATAACTTGAATAACTTATATTTGGCAATCGAAAATGGTGCTGCTGGCAACCTTTTGATCTCCTTCTTTGTTAAGTCTTTAACATTTTTATCCTTAAGTGCAGCTTTTTTAACTTGTCTTTTACGAATAATAGGATTGATGAAGTGAACGAACGAAAAGTAAACTATTGCTATAGTTAAAGGAGTGGAAGTTTTCATGCAAAATTCGTAAAACTTGACCAACCAAACATTTTCAAATGGAGCTGGTGCCAAAGGGGTGTTCCCTTGTGGAAATTTCCACAAATACTGACTTGGGAAACCAAACTCAACAGAATGATTCATAATTTCCATATTTATGACAATCAACACTGAACGAAAAATACAAGATTTAACCGACTTTTTATATATAGTATTGTTCAGCGGTGCGAGCTGCATCCAAATTTGTTGGATTTTTATGATGCCGAGGAAGATTCACTTCAACTCAACCAGTAGAAAGCTCTTAGGACTCTGGGGAAATTATATATATATATATATATATATACTGGTATTGCATGCTATTCGCTTCTACTATATCACTAGGAATATTTTAAGCAATTTCCATTTTGTTCTAAAAAAGTATGCAGCAATCATAAACCGTTGAAGACTATCTTTGAACACTCTAATAAACTTAGAAAATTCTTGTCACAATATCATTGAATACAGATATTTTAGTAGGAACTATGAACCTTATGAAAATGTATGAAATGAAGTATGGGCATTATGAATTAGAGTAAAAGGTATTCATTTCTTTTGTTACCCAAATTATTTGGGTAAGCTGCGAAAAAGAACAATGCGTAGTCGCATTCGCACTACAATAGGAACAAAAAGGAGACGTTAAATTCGTAATTAGCCTATATAATGAACATAATTGTTAATAGATTGTAAACTGGTAGTATAGTCAATTCCTGGTAAGGCGAAAGCTGGGTTTTGATTTTGGTTTTGGTTTTTGACGATTTTCTTAGATTTTCCACTAGTTACAAAATTGGTGATGGGCTTCAATTTATTGACCACCGGGTTAGAAACTTCAATGATGGGGTTAAACTGCAAGTACTGTTTATCTAAAATTAAGAAGTTCTTTTCTCTTAAATACAATGTCAAGTTGTTAATAGCTGCCGATATATCACTGGGTGCAAAATAACTCAACAATATTTCGTGATGCAAATTTTCGGTAGTTCTCACGCTAACCTCGATTTTAAGCAATACCTTGAATGGTATGATGATTCTGTCTTGGAAATCTTTATTCGATCTGCTAATTAAATTGTCAAATCTTCCTGGACAATAAGTGATTCTGAATTGATAGTTTTGTGGTAAAAATTGAGACAACTTCTGAGCACAGAAAACAGACTTAGTATCAGAGCCCTTAATAGGGATGATTAACTTATCTGCACTACCAAACTCTTCTATTGAGTCTGGGAAGTTGATGTATGTATTGGTTTCAATCTCCAAGTTGTTTATGAATTTCAAGTTGTAGTTTCGGTTTATAATTAAAATGTAATGACTCTTCCATAACTCAAAATTGGTGGTGTTATAAATAGTCCCCCCATTAGTGACAGGCATATTATTCAAACAACAATGCATTACTAGCTGGTCGATTTCCTGTTTGACCAAGCCAATATTCTTTGAGTTTTTATTTGGGCATTTGATCAACACGTTGCTGCATCTCTTGAACGAATAAAATATTTTATCTTGGGCTGAGTTTAAATTGCTCGAGAACTTGATGAAAACATTATATTTCTTCATAATGGACTGAATTATCGATCCTCCATTACCAATAATCGACTTATGAAACACTTCAGGGATGTTAAATTTAAGTTCAGCTGGTAATTCTAATTCAATCAATTCAATACCGGTCATCAAATTGTTGATTACCATATCATTGTCGCTAATTAATTTCAAATCGATAAAAAAGTTGTATTCATTAAAAGGTTTGAATTTAATTATGGCCAAATTATTCAATTGATTCAAAATTTTGATTATTTTACCATTTTTCTTACCACTTATAAAATCTTTCTGGTCATTATTGATTTCTATTCTGAGATTTATAGTAAAATTATTCAAAATACTACGCCAAAAGTAATAGTTTGTACTCAATTTTCTTAGAATTTGTTTGATTTCTTGATTCAGCCCATTAATTTCAATACCATATTGATTATAACTTATTATGCACGTCTTTTTTAAATCAATTAAATTGATGAGGTAGTATTCGAGCTCATTGTTGAAACAATTCCGGAAATTGATATTTATCGTATAATAATCAGAGCTTAACAATGTGAGTTCATGTATTGACTCGTTGATACTTTCAATTGATTGTCCTTGAACCCTTATCTTATAGTTGTCAGCCTCTCCTAGAGATGGCACTTGAATAAAAGTACCATATTTGAACATTATACCTAAAATGTTAGATTGGTTAAATAATGTAATCAAATCAATTTTAACTTTAGTAAGGTCAATTTCCTTTACGACAAGGGAATTTTGTTCCTTCAAAATACAATCAATTAAATTGCTTAGGATGTCCTTAGTCATAAGAATCTGATAAATTTCTTTAGATGTGATCCAAATTTTTAAGCTCTTCGTAGAATGCAAAATCTCAGAATTAAATAACTCTGGTAATAGATCTGGAATATAAATATTAGAATCCAGCTGTTTGGCGATTTGGCTGAAATTAAATAACTCAATACCACCTATAATTGGAATTAATGATAAATCAATATCAATTGAATCGATATGGAAACCGTTTAACATGTTATCAATGAGAATCCTAATTTGAGATTCCGTAACGGTTATATTATCTTGATTTCCCAAAATATAGATAGAGTAATTCTTACTTTTCTTATCCACGTTCTTGAATTCAGTATCTATATTATCAATTAATATTTCAACATTATATCTTATACTTAATTTATTCAACATTACCAAGAATTCACATGGTTCATTATCCACCTTGCGAAATTCATTGGAAGACAATTTAATCTGTTTATAATTAATTTGGTTGTAACTCTTCAATATTCTACTTCTTGAACTATTAATGAAGTCTTTAGAACCATTAATAGAGACCGTTATTAATTGGTTATTTATCAGTGGCTTAATGGTTCTTATATAGTTCTCATTTGTTTGACTGATTTTATTTATTTCATCCTCAATTGACCCCAAATTATCAATTACCTGAAGATTGTTTTGTAAATTAGAAGTAATTATATTTTCGCCTACCTGGTAGTGATTCCATAATCCATTATTTGTTTGGAAATATGTAGTATTTGATGAATTTACTAAATAACTATATTCCAATGTAAGTAAAACTAAACTCTTATCCATTTTGTTTTAAATCTCCGTAATTCGTACAATATTTTAATCCAAAGGGGTGTCAGCTTATATAAATAAGTAGTAATTATATATATAGTCCTGTTAGGAAATTTTGTATGATTATCTTATCGTTTGTTTATTTACTGAAGTTTCTTTATGGCAATTTATCTATAGAGATGCAAAAAAAAAAGAGCGGTCAAAATTACTTATTTAGGATATTTTATCAACAAAAAAATATATTTGAGGATTCCTAACTAATTAGCATTTGCATCCATCTTTGATATCATTAGACAGCCATATAGGGTGGGCTAGGTATATACACTCAAGAATTAATCAGGCCAATCTTTTTGAATCCCATACATAAACCATCTCGTCCCAACCAGTTGACGCGGCCCATCCTGGTTCACCCCACAAACTATAATCGCACCCTATGGCGAATTCCTTATGCCTTCCCATCACACCAGTACAACCACCATTGGGGGTGTTCAAAAATCTTGCTCTTTCATTCGATTGATCTCTCCATACTCTACAAGTCATATCATAAGAAGCACTTACCAACTCTTGCCCATTGTGAGGAGACCACAAAACCTTCCTCACGGCAAACTCGTGGCCCAAAAGTTGATTTAAGGGTGTTGGACCTCTTGTATGATATGCAGGCATTGGACTATTGGAGTTTGGATGATCAATACCAGTTATCATTCTTAAATCCCAAATTCTTATTGATTTATCAGTCCCAGCTGATGCGACTATTGTTGATTTGTATTTGTTCCAGTCACAACTTAAAGCTTCTAATCCACCATGTGCAATATAATCCAATTGTAATGGATGAGGTGATCTTATATCCCACACTTGCACATGTGAAGACCCGTTGCAACTAATAATCGTAGATGGAGAATGAGGTGAGAAAGTCGCATTATATATACAATTTGTAGTATTTAGTTGTTGATGCTGTTGTTGATGCGATAAAGGAGGTTTGGCGGTTTGAGCAATAGGTGATGTCTTAGTTGTATAATCTACTTTTGGGCTCAACGTAAGTAAAGATTCTTGCCTTTGAGGAGACCATATTTTCATTGTCCCATCCCACGAAGCAGATACAAAGTTGCTTTTGTCTACTAAGTTCCAATTAACGGAAAACACCTCCTTTGTATGTTCTTTATAATTCATCACAGGAAAATTAGGCACCGTGGTATCAAATATCTTGATTGAACCATCTCCACTTGCTGCGACAACTTGATTTTCATGAATCTCACTCCATGCAACATCAAACAAGCCATCCTGTGTTTCCCAAGAAATTGGGTTTCCAATAGACCCATTTGGTTCAATTCCTAATATGAATAATCTCCCATTACCTACCAACCCATAATTAGCGGAAGTAGCCACCGCTAATTTATTATCAAAAAATGGTGAGTATTGGACTCCATAGCCATTATATCCAGTGGTTCTAAATGCTAACATAGCTCCTACCTACTCTTTTTGACTACTACTGAGTTGTTTAAAATTTATATAAAACGCCAGTAGTATTTCCAATAAATTTCGAATTTCCAATACTCTAAACAATATGCAGGATATTCAGATAATACCATGTACTGAGTTAAAAGAATAATATTTAGTATATATATATATATATAGTTGCTTATGAGTTAAGATCGAAAAATCACATTATAAATACTTGCTTATGAATTAAGATCGAAAAAATCACATTTTAAATACTTTATGTCTTTAATATGTCCTTTAGGGATATCATTCTTGGTTACAAGATCAAATTGCAAAAGATCACCAATCGTAAGACCAGATTTCTGTTGAGAGTACTTCAAATAGTCGAAGTCATCATCGGATGAAGTAATTTCGTCTTCGTCCCCTTCATCTCTAACTGCATTTTCTTCTAATCTTAATTTATCGACACCAACAGTAATACTGTACGTACTATCGATCACTTTTTCAGAAGAACTGTGATGTGGGTTAGCAAGGGTTGGCCTAACTGGACCATTTTGGATTAAACCCCAAAGACACCAGTAAATTTGGACAGCAGGTCTCCAAAGAATACACTCATTATATAATTTCTTTATCTCAAATTGAATTAAATCAGCAGCATTGACTTGGGTAATATCCTTGTCAAATGTGTGTTTGAGGTTCGATGAAGGATACTGGAAGTCATATTCAATATAAGACTTAATCAAATTCAATTGTTCTAATCTGCTAGGGTACTTATCTTCGTGAATGTAATAGGATAATTCGGGGTCGTGATAATCAGCCATCCATTCAGAGAAATGATTTGCTAAATCAAATGCTACAAAATTAGGACCTGAATACTCAAAATCAATAACTGCTAAACTGTGGTCCTTCTTGTTACTAGTTGACTTGATGACCAGAGACTTTTCATCACTAAGTAAATTAGCTGATGATGGAGGGTGTGATATAATAATATCATTCACATCGAACGATTCATGCAACAAGAGATTACCATATTGGGTATCATTATGACAAAATTTATAATTAGAAGCTAGTAATTCAGTATCATAATGATCAAGTAACCATTTCTCATACTTTTTTATCAAATCTTTAAATTTATCAAACTTCATCAAGAAAATATCTTCTTCTTTTATCCCACTAGCTTCATAACTTGGTAAGACTGTATCTTCAAAAATTTGGATCCACTTATAGATCAACTTCCAGCACATAGGTAATCCATTAACATCTTCATGGCTTAACTCGACTTTATAATGTAAATCTTTCATTCTTCTACCCAACATCTGTGAAATAATTTCATCTCTAAGATTGTCTTTATTTAAAGGTGAAAACCCATCTAAAAACTGCTCAAATCTACCATTGAAAAATCCCTAACAATTTAGGACCAATGTTTCTCTGGGACAATTTAACCAAAACGCTTAACTCCCTTTCCCTATCAATTATTGAATCTAAGTTTTTCCCATAAACTCTTAATAACAACGTAGGTAACACGAAGTTCTGTTGTTCGTCTCTATACTCTACCTTATATATTGAATTAGTCAATGCCCCTGAAATTCTATTCACAGACATGTTTGAAATTGTCAATTGTCTTTTATGCCATTTGCTAATACGAAGAGCCTTGACCATAGCAATAATATCCTGTTTAAAAAAATCTAAAGGTACACTGTTATCTAAGGTGGCTTGTACTGTTGGAATTAATCTTTCATCATCAAGAGCGGTTGGTGTTATAGTAAGCTTACTAGTCGACGATGAAGAAAGTGACCTTTTACGTCCAAATGTAGGTCTTCTACTCGAGCTTGTGGATCTAGAATTAGCGGTTGAATTTCTGGTTCTTGACTTCGATCGAGATCTCGATTGAGTCGAACTATATATGTTAGCGTGAGTTATATCCATCTAGATCGTATTTGGTTTCTGTGTTTAACCACTTAATAATTGAGTCGTTATTGATTGACTTTTCAATCTTAAATCGTCTTGTGAGAATTATAATTATGTACACACCTATCCCAGATCAAATAATATTTGTTTCAAATAGATAGAAGGTAGATATTTAAAAACTAGAATGGGTTGGAGTGATTATCTTGCAGCTGCTGGTTGCCTTGGAACAGCTATTACATATGAACTCTATCGGTCTAAAATTACGGAATATGAGAACGTATTAACTGAGCTATATGGGAAGATCAATGATTTGGAACTTCAACTTGAACAAGAATGCCTACAAGCGAATAGCACATTCAGTACGGAACAGGAATACATTAGAACTGGTTATACTTCCAAAGACTTTAATTCAGAAGCTGAGAAAATAGATGAGGAGAGAAAATCGCTTGCTAAACTTGAAGATGTTAACCAAGTATTGAAAAGTAACGTCTCCCAAATGAGACATGAGAAAATCCAATTGGAAAAGAAATTGAAGCAGTTTCAGGATAAAATTGATAGTTTAGAAACTGATTTACTGAAAGCTAGTTTAGACAAGGTGTCATTAAAAGAACTGTACCACTTCAAATTGAATAATGAAATTGAGAAGCTAATCACTTCACGGGATTTAGAAATTGCAAATTTGCACGATACAGTGAAAAGCTTAAACAAGGAGAAGGAGAAACTCAGTGAAGTTAATTCCAAGTTATCTGAAGATAATAAAAAACATGCCTTTGAAATTGATCAAAATGTGAAAGAGATTAGCCTTTTGAGCAAGCAAAAAGCTAGTAACGAAGATAATATTGGGAGCTTGAATACAAAATTAAACAAATTGGAATTATTGAATGAGAGAAATGAGATAGAATTAGGTAAAAAGGAGAAGAAGTTGAACGAGTATGGAAAGGAGGTTTCTGAATTGAACGACAAATTAAATTCTAATAAAGAAGAACTTTCAAGGTTGTTATGTGAAGTTGAAAATTCTCAAAAAAGTATAACCGGCAAGGAAGAGTTGCTCGCTATAGGAAAGCAAGAGATTGCACTATTGAAGAGAGAAATAGAATATCAGTGCAAGCTTTTGGAATCTAAGAGTGTATCCCTAAACAAAACTATTGAAAAACAGGATAGTTTTATGATTGAATATAAGGAACTTGGATACGAAATTGATCAGCTATTTGAAGAAGTCTTCGAAATCGAAAAGAACTCCAACGAAGGAAACCGGAATTCGGATGAGGACTCTAGATCTGAAGAGTTTGAAATCGTAAAGTATAATGAAAGCAAGCGGTCTTCAGAAGACTTCGAGGAAGTAGATATCGAAGATGCTAAGAAGACTTCAAGTGAGTCTTCTGAAGATCATGAACAAAAGAAAGAGGATAGCCAAATAGAAGAGAAAAGCTTAAGCAAAAACATGGAAAGTTCCGAAGGGTCCGAAGTTGAGCCAGATAAGGACATTGAACTCAAAGGTTTTGAGCCGACAATTAATGAATCGTTCAAAAATAGTCTCCGAAAAATTCAAAGAGTAAGAGAGTATATTAAAAGTTTCAAATCCGCTAAAAATGACAGCGTGTCTAAGCACCAGGACAAAATCCGTCTTCTTCAAAGGATAAATTCGATACTTGGTGAACGCAAAGAGTTGAAAATTGCATTATCTTCTGATACAACACAGAAATTAGAGGATGAAAGCAGCAACGAATCCCTGGGGGATCAAAATTTTGAACTACAATTAGAAAATAATCTAAAATCGATCATGCTGCAAATATCCGAGAAAGAAAAGCAGATTAAAACCCTAGAGTCGAAATTGGAGGTCAGAGTTAAAGAGTTTGATACTTTTAAGCAGGAGAAGAAACAATTAGAACTGGCTCATAATAATGACAGAAAAACCCTTACTGCGCGGGAAAGCGAAATCGATCGTTTGAACCAGGAATTAGCCAAATTACCCACTGCGACAAAGGAAATTAGCAATTTAAATGCCGAATTATCCGCAAGAAGTGAACAAATTCACACCCTTGAAAGGGACATACAAAGACTAGTGCATGATCTACAGTCTAGCAATGCGAAGGTCGAGAATCTGCCAGCAGCACATAACCCCACCAATTCCAATATATCTGAACCACTCACCGGCGATGACGACATAAAACTGTCAGGAGCCGAATTGCAGATCTCACCTGACCTCTCCAAACAGTCCCAGCCCCTAGATGAAGAAAAGCTACATACTCAAAAAGTGACACCTTTGCATTCTGAGCCAAAAATCCCTTCTGAGTCTTCTGAGTCTGCCCGGAACGAGTTAGGTGGAATACCTGAAACAGAAGTCAGTACTTCTACATTGAGGCTGCAGTCTGCTAAGCGAAGCACAAAAGAGAGCAACACCAGCGAAGAAGTTGTGCACTCGGATAATTTTACACCTCTTTCGGAAGAAAAAAAAGCTTATCAACACAAAATTGACGAACTTACCCGTCAGTTACAAGAAGCCAACTCGAAGATTGCCAAGCAGCATAAAGTAATTTCCAAGAATCTTGAATTACTAAAAGAATCAAGGTCCCGTTCATCTTCACCAATGACGTCTCCTACCAAATCTTAGCGACTGCCTGGTCAGTAAATCATGGTTGCATTCTAAAAATAATAAGTTTCTATTTAATACCTGCGACAAAAAGAATATGGCCGTGCATTGTACCTTAATATTAATATACTTTTTATGTCTTTATTGTCTTTTAACTCGTATTATGTATACCTAGTACAGTTATTACGTATTTTGTACATTGTAAGTACGTAGTACATGAGATTGTTACTGGCAAGGATAGTAGACCTTTAGAAGAGGGAACACCTTTAATATTAGGACCAGTTATTATCATCCTGTTAGAGCAGGTATGAGATGTGCTTATTGTTTCACTTGTACTAAGCATTGCTATGTATAAATAGATTGTAAATAGATAGACGGAACAATAATACAAGGCAGGCTTAACTTCAGAATCCACATTTGAGGTTTTAGAAGCAGGAAAAATTGGGTAATCATCTGAAATCATATTTTTTATATTTTTATTACATCCCAGTTTTTAAGGACGCACCAGACTGAGGTAAGTAATACTGAAGAACTGTGCATTTTCACAACTAGGTTATTCATTGTCATTCGTTAATTACATTCACACAAGTAAGCAGATCCTTATCAATATTATTGGGTTGATTCAAGTATATTAAGATCGGTTATTTTATTTATGATATCATTGCAAAACAGGAGCTAGAAGAACATTGAAGAAGCATAAACATATCCAGCACTAGACTATAGAATAAGGCGAAGAGTAATACCATGGAAAAGGTGCTTTCAAAGGCCACTAATCTTAATAGGAAGAAATCCACCAAGAGTACACGTTCTG